AATGAATAAGATAGACTTTCTTAATGATGTCAACTGGAGAGACCAATTCACCCTCATATTAGACCTAGACGACCAAAAGGACCTTACTATTAGTTTAGGAGCCAGGACCGCGAAAGGCAAAGATCTCCCAACTTGTGATTGCCTAACTATTGACACTAGCACTAACCTTTTAAACCAAGGCCAACCGTCTAGCTGCCCCCCAAAGATTTATGTTACAGGCCTTGCTGAATACCTTGGGCCCAATTCTTATGATAAGAGTGGCAAGCTCTTAGGCACTTTATTACAGGTGTCCCCTGACATTTCAACATCTCCATGATCATGAGTTGGATAGGGTTCATTAGCCAATGCGTACTCTATTAAAGACATTCCTTGAGACGAGTATCGATGTGATTTGTTAAATAAATATGGTTGTGTGAGGATGACGTCATATTGAATTGTAGCGTAGATATGTAAAGCCAAATTAGTCAAAGCAGATTGACTCTATTAAAGTTGCAAGGCGTAGTTAGCTGGCAAATCATCAGGTTAGTATTGTTGGGAGCTAAATAGTGGTCGTATGATAACATTGGGTTGGTATTGGGTTAGTATTGGGCTGGATATGTTAAGAACAACACCAGCTGTACCAGAGACCACACAAATAACTCAATATTTACAAGGAGTATATGCCAAACCTTTATATCTTATATGTTCTCCGATAATATCGACTGTAAAAGAGGGCAAACCTGTTTACAGGCATGAATAACAGGTTATAATGGGTTAGTATTGGGTTAAGCCAACTCAAATTAAGGCAACTAATTGGGTTGAGTTGGGTTATAAATCGAAGTACTAACTTAATCTAATCTAACCTAACCTAAACCTAAACTCAAACTCAATCTAACCCAAACTCCACCTAACTCAACCCAATACCAATTCAATCCATCACATAACCCCACTACAAAAACAAACCCACCAACACCACCAATATCAACACCAAATCAACCTAATACTAACTCAAATCAACTCAATATCAATATATACATATGCAGATGGCTTTTTATTTTTATGTCCGACCATGAACAGGCCACAAGATTGAATGAATACTTGAACAAATATATTGAGATTCGGAAAAGAACTGAAGAGAAAAAGAAGGAATTAGTGGGTTTACAAAAGAGACGAGATGCTCTTTTAGATTTACTTGTTTATTTAAAAGGTCCCAATGTCCCTACTAGAGAAGAACTAGAAGGAGAAAGTGCCTTCCCATTAGTTCTAGGCAAGTCTCATTCTAAATTTACAGTTACTTCAATTGGCATTTTACCATCTGAAGAGTGTTTTGCCTTTTACAATCAGAACTATATCTATCCACCAGGTTATAAAATCAAAAGAAAGTATAACGGACTGACTAAATCAGATCCAAAAGTAGTTTATTATTGCCAGATAAGAAATGAAAATGGCGAGTGTATCTTTGAAATTCGTACAATTAATGGTAAAATCTGGTCTGGTTCCCGTGAAGAAGTCTGGCGGTCATTTTCTTCTGAGTTTGAGAAGATGAGCTTTACTAGTCTTGAAAACTTCTTTGGACTTACGCATGAATCTATTCAGACTTTAATAGAGAGTATGGGTGATGTTTCTGTTCTTTCTACTTATATTCCTTTCCGGATTCGATGTCGTAAAGGCCGTAAGCCCCAATTCCATCAAGATGAGTAAGTATTAGATTAAATTGGGTTTGTTTTGATTTGGTTTTTGATTTGGTTTGATTTTTGATTTACATTAGCTTTTGATTTGGTTTTTGATTTGGTTTAGTTTAGTATGCATATCAACTTAACTCAAACTCAAACTCAAACTCAAACTCAAACTCAACTCAAACTCAACCTAATTGTAGTGTCGTAATACAACCACTACCAACTCAATACCAACTCAATACTACCTCAATACCAACTTAATCACTACTCACTACTACTAACCCAATACTTTAATAGAGTTAAGACGTTTTAACTAAAGTAATTTTATATATCTTATCTACAATTTGATGACGTCATACTCACTCAACCCAACCATATTTACTTAATAAACGACATCAGCACTTATCTCAAGGAATATCTTTAATAGAGTAGTAATAGGTTAGTATTTGGTTAGGATGGGATATTATACAAACTCAAAATCAAAATCAAAACCAAAACCTATCTTAACCCAACCCAATACTAACATAACCTTATCTTATCTTATCTTAACTTAATTCAAAACTTAACCCAATCTATACTAATAAAGCGACTCTCTAAATTTTGCAAAATGGGGATCATATTAGGAAGAAGAAAGTCAGTGCGAGAGATAATTATTGAATTAGAAACAAAGATTGAAAAAGAAGAGAAAGAGATAAAATCAATGAAACAAACTCGGAATACGTTAGATGGCACTGTATTAAAGCTTGGACTATTGGTTATCTTTGTTGGTTGTGCACTTATTTGGATATGCAAAGAAAGCGTATCTTGGAGTAGTCTAGTTAAGATACTCATTTTAGTTGTTATTGCTATTTTAGTTCTTTTGTTAGTTTCTTATCTTTTGAATCGAGTTTATGAATATCGATTACAGAAGAGAATTAAACGGTTACAGAAGTTAAAGGAAGTCCAACGTAGTAATATTCTAAGTTTAAAGAAAGAGACCAAGTATGATGAAACACACCATATCATAGAGAAGTACGAACGCCCTAAGGTTGTAGAAGAAGAGAAACCAGAAAATGTCGTAGAGAAGATAGTATCTACTCTTATCCAATAAGTTAGATTTAGATTGAGTTAGATTGGGTTTGAATTGAGTTTAGATTAGGTTTAAGCTAAGTTTAAGCTAAGTTTAAGTTTAGATTGAATTGAATTGAGTTTAAGTTAAGTTTAGATTAAGTTGGGTTTAGATTGAGTTAAGTTTAGATTAGATTAAGTTGGGTTTAGATTGAGTTAAGTTTAGATTGAATTGAGTTAAGATTAGGTTGGATTGAGTTTAGATTAGGTTTAAGCTAAGTTTAAGCTAAGTTAAGTTTAGATTGAGTTAATTTGAAATTTGAGATTAAGATTGGGTTTGAGTTGATTTGATTTGGATTTAAGTGGGAATAGATAGGAATAGATACCTGATACTGTACTGGTCCTTGTTATAGATATACGTATTTAAGACTTATTTTAACAAATATACTAATTTGGTTGGAGACTGCGACTAGATCGCATATATAGTAAATAGAAACTGTGTCTATTTTTAGTTTATGCAGATGAGGACGTTTGGGAAGCGAGGTCGGCCAAGTCGTAAAAGCCTGGGCGTTTTGGCGGCACCAAGTCTGTTTGCCTTGGAAGTTTCGACTGAGAGACCTATTAAGGAAAATAGTAAGTCAAGTAATAGTCGAAGACGAAGTGTGGGCTGGGAAGGAAATGAAGATAGTGGCAAAGTAGAGATAAAGAGATTTAAAGATTTACCAATCGCTTACTTGGAAAAACTTGGTGAGTCTACCTTTAGTGAGATCTTTATTGACCGTCGAGATATGCGAGTTTATAAGATTATGCCGATTACCTTTAAGAAGGAGTATAAACGAGTGCAACATACGAAGATGGAGTACTTTCTTAAGGAGTGTTTAGTAATGGGTCGAATGAACAAATCGGTCTACTCAACGAAAATGTTTAGCTGGATGGTAGTAGTAGATAGGTATCCGGAAGAGTTAGTGGAAAAGTGTCGGATTTGGGCGGCTGATAATTGGGAATCGGCTGAGAATTTAGTACCACAGAAGAATAACTCGTCTGGTATTTTTGGGATAATTCAAATGGAGTATGGGGGTATAGAGTTATCTAAGATAGATTGGGGTAGTATTAGGTTTGAACAAGTTCAGGAGATTATTAGTAAATTACGATTGTGTGTTGATCGCATGGGATCTTTAGGGGTAGAACATAGGGACATGCATGAAAGTAATGTTTTAGTTGAGTTTTTAGGAGATAGTGGGTGTCGAGTACGTGCGATTGATTACTCATTGGCCTGGGCGGACTGGGTGGGCGTAGGTTTGTTTTCAATTGAGGTGGTTGATGATCTGGAAGCTGGAGTGATTTACTATCGGGCGGGACGGACTCTTTATACTGATTTAGATACGGAAATGCCGTGGCTCTTTGCTAATTATGACGATGATCCGCATAGGCAGGTTTACAAGCGGATGAATGCTGAGTATAGTGGTGAGAATCGTTGGCAGCACCGAGGACACAGTAACCGATACTGGCTTCAGTATCTTATAGACTGGATATACGATAAGTGGCGGAAAACCACTCAGATTTAGAATAAAGAAAGTTAGATGTACTACTGGGTTAATGTTTACTAAAAGGTTTAAGTTAGGTTAAGTTGAGTTAGGTTAGGGGTGGGTTAGTATTGAGTTAGGTTAGGTTAGGAGTGGGTTGAGTTAGGTTGAGTTAGGTTGAGTTAGGTTAAGTTAGGATAGAAGTTAGGAGTGGGTTGAGTTAGGTTGAGTTGAGTTGAGTTAGGATAGAAGTTAGTAGTAGGTTGTAGTTGTTTTATTGGTGGGTTGGGGATAGATAGTATCTGCAGTACAGATTTGACATTAAAAGAAGATAAGCAAAACAACAATAAAAGTATATTGTTATTAATAAGCCTGTTGATGTAAATAAGAAGATAAGCAATAAACATAAACAAACATAAACGTGTTTAATTAAACCATGGAAAACTGGATATATATATAGATAAGAATATGGAATATTATGAAAGTTGGCAAGCTCTTCAGAGATAATTGTCGTATCCAGAAAACAACTTGGGTGCTGGCTTCGGGTTTGTTGGTATTTTATACAACTGTAGATGCCATGTCGCAAAGAGTTATTCTTACCCCGCAACAGTACTTAGTTACATTTAATGGGTATGAACAAGCTTGCTATTCAAAACAACATAACAACCAGCATACTGGCTGGGGAGGACCGACTAATTCAGGCAGTAATATGCTAATCTTAGAGACAAATGCTTCTCATTGTACATTCCCAACAGCTGCCATCCCTACTTTAGCCACGGCTCCTCCTGCAAATGGCGAAGAGTCTACTGCAACTAGCGACGATCTTACTGCAACTAGCAATGATTCTACTGTAGTCACTGCTCCTCCTACAACTGGCGAGGATCCTGCTTTATCCACTGTATCTTCTTCAACTAGCAAAGAGTCTACTGTAACCTCAGCTCCTCCTGCAAATAGCGACGATTCTACTGCAACTGGCGACGATCTTACTACAACTAGCGACGATCTTACTACAACTGGCAACGGTTCTACTACAACCACCAATTATACAACAAACCCATTTAAGAACATGTCAGAAGACAGTATAATCTAACTGCCCTAAGAATCACCGAAAGAGGGACCCGAAATAGAAATTGAACTAATCATCTGACAAGTGAGAAACCGACTCAGCATAACCCTTTAATGGTCTGCTTAGACAAAAACGGTCAAATGAAACATGGATTGTCTTTATCAAGCTAAAGGAAATCAAGACGGTCTAAATAGAAAATCATACACCATATCTACCCAATAGTTCAAAACTAGCATCATTGTAGATTATAGAGCTTTTCACATGACGGCCCCTGGTTGTCTAAAGCTCTATAGACCCAATCACACAAATTTCACAACATAATGACAGTCAACATTTCGATTAGTGTCTAAAGACAGCAAATCAGATGACAGTTTTGAAATAAAAACATGACTATAAGACTTCGTCTTTAATCAGGCCTTACAATTAGGCCATGCCCGCTTGTGATGAATTTCAAACTATCTACTCGGTTGATTCAGTTGGCAAACGGCTATTATTTTGCAGAGCACAATAGTATCTACCTATTGACTGGCTTGGCTGGAATGCAGAAGGACACCAGCTTTCACAGAACAATCACAAATCCTATTGCAAAGCGGCATGACTTCAAAAGTATCCCGTGATCGTTTTAGAAGCCATGAATAAAGACAAGGGAAGTTTTGCCTGCTCTGGTTGAAGACCAAGTAGTTCCTTTTTAGTCTCAATGTGTCCGTTAAGTATCCTAAGCTCTTAAGCACTTATAACAATAACTGATTTATTAACACCTAAATGGCAAGTGTAATTGCTCTTATCAATGCCAGCAGCCGCCTATCTTACCGCCGCACGAGCTTTTTTGATGTGAATAGCTCTTTCAATGACGGACTTGGGAACTTTGGCCATAGTACATATGTTGATACCGCACGAATCATCACAAAGACCGTCCACCAGCTTGTAGAGGTACAGCATTTCTTGCGACCCTTCTTTACCCTTGGCCAGCGTATAGTCCATTTTGACAACTCGGTCACGCGGATGAATCGCATTGAAGAAATGCGTGGCATAAAGTGAGGTACACTTGATTGTTTTGAGATATTCTTTAACTGCAAAAGAGATAGCCGAGCCTTCTTTAGTAGAGGTGCCTCTTCCAAGCTCATCAATGATCACAAAAGAGTTTGCGGTAGCTTGTCTGAGGATATTGGCCGTTTCTTTCATCTCCACTTGAAAAGTCGACTCCCCATCAATCAAATTGTCCCCGGCGCCTATTCTAGTGAAGATTCGGTCATAGATAGGCCCTGAAAATGCAGTTGCTGGAACCCGCATTCCCATCTGTCTTAGAATAACAGCCACTGAAATATTGCGCAAAAAGGTTGATTTGCCTGCCATATTAGGTCCCGTAAGAACAAGCAACGGATTGCTGCTGTCCACTACAATGGCATTAGGTACGTGGGTTTTCTTGATATTAGTCAGACCCGATATATCGAGGGTGTCGGCATATTCAGCCCTGGCTCCGGCTATTTCCGCAAAGGAGAGAAGACAGTCAAGCTCTGCAATGCCTTGTGCAATTACTCGTAGTTGATCTTCATGCTCCGCAATTCTAGAGGAGATTTCAAGGATACAGTCCTGGCCTAAACTATTGATGTGCTCTTCTGTTTCTAGAAACTCTTCAGAGAGCCTTTTCAGACTGGGTGTGGTGTAGCGGGCCGCGTTCTTAGTACTCCCAACCAGAGCAAAGTGGGGTGGCAGGGACTTCTTGGCTGCCGTTTCCAAAAAGTAGTCCCGGCCTAGTCTCTTGGCTACAAAACCGACTCCCTGGGCTGTAGATTCAGTTCGAGCATATGCTGTAATGGCGGTGGCGACCCTCTGCTGATGGGCTTGGGCTTCAAGTAGCCTTTTGTCTGTTTTGAGAAGGGAGATAGTCTCAGCAATATCAAACCCATCCAGCACACCCAGGCCAATAGCAAAGTCCTTAATCTTCTTTAGAATGTCCGGTAAGAGTGTCTCGCGTATGCTGTCTTCTGGGCCGCATACTTCAGAGAGTAGGCAATGGATCTTCTTGATGGAGGCAAAAGACTCGGCAAACTTTCGTATCTCCTCTGGTCTGATCTTCTGGTTTTTACCCTTTTTGACAAAGTCGTTGATATCGTGGATCTTTTGAAGAAAGTGTTCTAATTCGGCCCTATTCGGCAATGCTTCTAGTCGCTCGGTTGTGTTGTATCTTTTGTCTATTTCTTGGATGGTGTAGAGCGGTTGAAGCAACCATTCTCTGAGAAGTCTTTTGCCTAGCCTAGTCCGTGTTCTATCTATTTGCGAAAAGACCGACACGCGCTCTTTACTATTCCCATGCGGGTCATCAACTAGAGCAAGTGTTTCGATGGTTCGGCCATCAATGTACATAGATTTTTGGTTTCTTTCAGTTGGTTTCACTAGCTGCGGGGTAAACTGGTATTTCAGATATTGCAAATAGGCTACTAGATTTTCTAAAACCTCTTTCTCGTCGCTTGCTAAGTTCTGTCCGCCCATTGTTTTGATTGCAGCTTCTGGACACTCTGCCCAGCGATCTTGTCTTATCCTTGTCTGTCTCTCGCGGAGTGGCAAAGGTGCATCGACAATTACTTCCTTGATATTCTCTTTCTTCAGAATACCTTGAGTCTGGAACATTTCACTTGTATCTTCCAAGGTCTGAACAAAGAACTCTGATTCCATCGGCCGGAAAATCGCCAGTGAGACCATTATCTTATCGCTATCTCCTGTTTTCTGAACAGAAAGAGAACATATTCCCAGACCTTCCTGGCTGTTAGTTACTTCAGTCACGACTTCTTTTAGCTCACGCTCAATCACACTCTTTTTGGCCTCACCTTGCTTAATCCGCATGTTTTGGGCTACTGCACTCTCTTTCTGGTCAACGATTGCAACTTTATACCCTCGCTCAACAAACCGACTTGTCCAATACTCTAGCGACATTTCCGGGACTCCGGTCATTTTCATTGCCCCTCTTTTCGTGAGTTTGAGTCCAAATACATCTGCTGATAGCACAGCATCACTTTCAAATAACTCATAGAACTTGCCCTTTTTGAAAAACACGATCGCATCAAAATAGTCCTTTTTGATACGCCAGAATTGTTCCTCACAATTGGTCATCTTGGCAAACTCGGGTTCAGGAATAAACAGGCTTGTCTTATCATATTCTCGGCTATCAATTGAATTGCCAAATTTATCTCGCAGCGTAGCTAAGAAGGAAAACTTACTCTCCTCCTCAGCCGAGTCTTCACTAGCCATCATTGATAGTGATTGTTCTGCTATCTGGCTGGACAAAAGACTTACCTCAGTGCTTACTTCTGAACTTACCATCTCAGGACTTGTTATTTGGGAATCTACCCTTTCCGAATTCAATGGTAAACTTGCTGGTGAAATAGACAAAGGTCCATTGGCACAAGATACGGTCTGCGGCCGACAGGTTTCACTAATACGTACATCGGAAAGTTCCAATGGACTTGTATCGGTCTTAGGCCGTTTAGATGCCCAACCTAATAAAGTACTCTTTCTTGGAACGGAATTCATTATTTTCCGACCGACACTCAACTTATATACTCTCAAAGCCCGCTCCCGCCAAATGAAAAAGGCCGGGTTGGAATGGGATGTGTCAAAAGACACTATTAGATGCTATGCTGGCTGTTCAAGACATAGCAATGCCTATAAAATCAACACAACGCCAATACAATACAATACAAATCAAGCCAACATACTAACCCAATAATAATCACTATTAGGTATGATAGATGCATTTTATTAGATAGTGAACACTGAATTGAGAATCGCCTCTGTAGAGAACACGCCGCTGATATAATCAAGAAACAAAAACCCCAGAGTGACAAAGGCTATTAACATACACAGAGACGAGGCTATGAAGACCGTGTTCTTTAAATTCCTCTTTCTAAAGGCATATCTGTTCTGGCGTTTTTTGTATTTGTAGTATACTAGCCGCGATAACATACTCAACAACATTGCAACCCAAACTAGATAAAAGAGATGGCGGAAGAACCCACTGCCAATAAAGCTACTTTTTCGGTTGATTAGCCAATCTGCCTTTTCCTGTTGAAAAATGCAAGATATAGAAGCAAACGAGCAAATCATCACAAATATGATAGCAGAAAGAATGATAATCGATACAAAATTTACTTTGTTCTGAGGTTGTGGCTTCAAAATAGTTGAAAATAGATATACTACATGTGATATGATTGAAGCAACACAAATAACAATAAACCACATGGCAAATGAAAAGTAATGTAACGAGTTGATTGAGAAGATAAAATGAAATGACTCAATCAGATAGACACAAAAGACTGGAGTTATAATACCAGCCAGACAAACAACATTAGTTATCCATTGAAAAGATGCAATCCATAACGGTACTTTTGGTGGAGAGTTCTTTTTAGAGTCACTTTTCCAAGATAAATCCTTGGATTGGTTATGGCTACCGCTTGACGGCCGTCTTTTGCTAATCAGACCTCTTAAGTTCTGAAAATTGATCCTATTTGATCGGGTCTTTTTATAGTCAGTTTCAGAGGGAAGAGGCTGCTGAAACTCAACTGTATTTCTATCTACATCCTCTTTAACAGGCGAAACCCTGAACAAGCCGTTTGGGGACATATATTAAAAAAATAGAGAATATTTAGTGATGCCATGATGGCTAACTTTTCTTTCCTAAAAAGGAAATATTTATTTTTGAACTTGATATTAGGTGAGGTTAGTATTGCGTTGAGTTAAGTTGAGTTAAGTATTGAGTTGAGTTGCTTTGAGTTAAGTTAATATTGGGTGTGTATATTAACCCAATGGTATGTTAGATGGGATTGAGTTTGGGATTGGGTATTTGGATGTTAGAGGAAGTACATGACTAAAGTTCTCAATTGGCCATTGTCAGAAAAGCAGTAGGCCAGATGGAAGAAAGCAAAGAGAATGAATAGGACAAAGAAAGTGATGCTACCTACTAAACAGTGCTGACTTCTTTGGATTTGCTGTTTCTGTGTTTCCTTGTAATTGAAAGTCTTTCGACTGCGATACCCCAAAGAAACAATACCACCAATCAACAGAATATAAACACCCCAGATTAAATACTCGAACAGGTACACAGTCATTTGCGGCCGAGTGGTGATAAACAGTGTAATGTATAGACAAAGACTAGCTAGTAAAAGCGAAGAAATAGCTCCATTGAGCATTGCTAAGTTGTGGTACTTACAACTGAAAAAGAACCGCAAATAAGACCTAAGCTCGTGTCTAGGGAAGTAAGAAAGCAGCCAAATAATAAGCCCAGTTACTGTACTTCCTAAAACCAGTCCGTGTATTGCTCGTTCCGCCTGGTTCTGGCTCAGCCATAGACCAACCCCACCCAGCACAATCAAGGCCAGTAAAACACCCGTTTGAAGCACATAGAACACAGAAGAGGTTCCGACAAAGACTCGGTGTTTTAGATTGTCCTTTCGGCCGCTGGAAGGCTTTTCCTTTGGGATCAACAAAACCCGATCATCATCCTCCATTTCATCATTACTATCATTAAATTCATCTCGCGTATCAGTAATTTTACTGGAATTTTGACCATACCCAATACTAACTCCATTACCTCGCTTATCCAACTTACCTACGCCCATTAGTGCTGGCCTAGTATTTGCATCTGGTATATTCAAGACTGTAGTTTGATCCGACATTATGAAGATTTTCGCCGATGTAAAAAGTAATATATCTGTACCTGATACTGATTGCTATGAGTCAAAAGTACTCTTAAAGACGTGTGACTATATATTGATAAATTGGCATTATCTGCCTTTTTATTGATTATTCCTGTGTTTCTATGCTGGTTTAAACGCTCGTCAGTATCAAGTCTCGAGTAGATGGTGCCACCAAAGCAATGAAAAGGACTATAAACACAGATATAATGTAAGTGACGTAAATAGCCAATCTTATCAGGTCCCTGAAATTGTCCTGATTGAGAACTTTCTCGATGAAAGACTTTTTGTACCAGTTGTCATCCTGATCAATATGCACTGAAGGTATCTCGCCTTTAGCATACTTGTAGAGTCGCTGCCCAATAAGAGCGATATCAATAAGAGCTACTACATAGAAGAGCCAGGCTACCTTAGAGTAGTGTGCAGTGTAGAAAGCAACATTGTTCTGGCCGGCTAGACCTATTATTATCAAAAGCAAGATGCTCTGTACAGCCATTCCAACACCAACACTAATACCAGTAGCTATATTTTGGTTGATTTCATTAGACGCCTTGGAGGAACCACGCATCCAAACTGATGTTATAAATTGAGTGACTGATTCGAGGACTAAAGCTAACTTGAGAAGGAAGAACCAAAAGACCATTATCGAACCCGCTATACCCGACCCGCCGGCTAGCTTAGCCAAATCCAGAAACATAAGCAGACCCAAAGAAGTACCTAAACCCACGCGCAAGTAGTAAAACAACCAATGTATAATGTCTTGCTTGATATTAATAGGCTCTTTTGAAGGTTGAGAATTACCTGCTAGGTCTAGTTCTTGGTCAATGGCTGAATATGGCGGCGGGGGTATGTATGTTGCGTTTGCGATCTTTTGTTGTACACTGTATGCCGATAGGTCGTGTCCTTGTTCCGCCTCACTTAGGTCTGTTTTCTTCTCTTCTCCAAAACGGCTGGACAAACTACCGGGTGTCTTAATTTTTTGATCTTGCGTGCTTTTTTGATCTCTATCCATTTAATTGAAAGCTTACATTTTTTTATAAATAGATATGTTTATTTCCCAAAAAGGAAATTTTGAAACCCGCTTTTTTCTAAAAAAATCTAATTATTTAACTAATTATTCGTTTAATTATCAGACATTGAATCTATTGTTGAGCAATAATTTCACAAACTCCATTAACTATCTGGCCTTCATAGTTCAGACTAATCTTAAGCCAGTGGCACTACATCACTACTATCTCAACACTGTATTACTACTTTTGTATATTCCTAGCAGGACATTCCCGCTTTTAAGAAGACGGGAATAAAATTACCTAATAAGGAATTGCCTAATAAGGAAATTTCCCCGGTCTATAAATAGGCCTGAAAATGAATAAATACGAGATACGAGAGTTTGAAAGATGGACCGAAGAAAACAACTACTACTACATCCCTAGCATTTTAATGATTTTTTTGTTATCTGAATTGATTGGGTTAATGTTGGGTTAGTATTAGATTAGATCGTATTTTTGATGAATAAAGAATTCTCTAGCAGTTTATTAATTGATTAGTACATCAAAATGTACCTAAAATAGTTCGTTAAGTCGGTGTTAAAGGAAAACAGAATGATAGGATAAAGAATAATAGACTCACCCAGAGTTAAAGCCAGCAGGGCTAGTAAAGCTTTATGGGCAAGATCTCTGATTAGTAGGAATCCTCGTACACTACGCGGTTTGTTCTTAATATACTTAATGGCTAAGAAGCCGGCGGTTAAGCCATAGGAAATGCAGGCACTAAGGAAAAGCACATATGATAAATCTGTTATCTCTAAAGTAGCTTTTTGTCCTTCTGGCCTAATGTGCTTGAAGCCCATGTTAAGGGCCTGGAGAAGACTTCCAGCTAAGCACAGGAAAGCAAAAACAATGATAAACTTAGTGGTTTGCTGAGTAGTCTTATCGACTGGCTGAGTTGAACAGACAAACTGCAAAACGGCAAAGGTTCCAGCCAAAATGTAGATAGCAATATGTTGCCAGATAAATATCCATTGGATCACGTACTGGCTAACCAGGACTTGCATTCCCAATTTCCTAAACCCAAACAGAATCAGTAAGTATGCATACAACATACTAAGGATTACAAACAGAATAGTGAATAAAGGCACTGGTTGTTTAAAACGCCGAATGTTCTTTTGTAATTGGCTTTGAATTATCGAAAATCTTGATGGACACTTTTCTGTCTCATCAGAATGAGCTTCTTTTGACTCTACTATTGGATCAATACTTACTCCAGTCACTAAATCATCGCTTGAGTTCTTATTATCTATAGTCATGTTATTTGCTGGCTATCAAAATTTTTCAAAGTAAAGTTGTGAATCTAATCTGACCAATCATTTTTTGCATTAAGGAGTTAATATTAAGTTGAGTTAAGTTAAGTTAAGTTAGTATTAAGTTAAGTTAAGTTGTGCCATTAGACCACCACTACTCTTTATTCGTTAATTGATATAGCTTTTGCATAATAACAGAATACTAACAGAATACTAACACTATCACAGATTTATTGGGTTGGCAGTGAATCCAAATGATATCAAACTTTACCTAATACTAACCCAACTCGAATATGACGTCATCTTCGCACTTACCGTCGTATACACCTAATAAAACCCCAACTACGTCCCATTAAGACAGGTCACTACTGGAATTTGTACTAGCCATGGAACTATCTCTACCCATGGGCACTATAGATAATTAGATACTGTTTATTAAACCGGTCTTTATCTATTTATTGAATTAAGATTAGGTTGTGTTAGGTGGAGTTGGATTAGGATAGGTTGGGTTGAGGTGGAATTGGGGTATAGATAGCTGGTTTATGTGGCAAAATAGTTGTTGGCTTCTTTTTGTTCTCTATCTTTGGCGGAGTTAGGCATGTTGATCCGTGGCCGGAAGTTCTCGGCATCTCGTCGGAAGGTGACATCCAAGGACTTCAAGAACTTGTTCATGCCCGCTACTACTCCGCCTGGAGAATTAGCCCGACTTTCCACTCCGGGCGTGCCTTCAAATACCATCACTCGATCGGCCATGTATGTTGCCATAATCATATCGTGCTCAACTATCATTGCCACTCGCTTTTGCCCCGTCACAAACCGTTTGATCGCTTTGGCAACTATAATTCGCTGGTCCGAGTCCAAATAGGCCGATGGTTCATCAATCAAATAAAGAGAAGCCGGCTTGGCTAAACAAAGAGTAATAGCTAGTCTTTGCAACTCCCCACCACTCAGTTCAGATACTTTCTTCTCAAATAAAGTCGGAATTCCTAAGGGAGTCATTACTTCAATTGTAAAAAGTGTATCTACCAAGACGTGCTTGGCTTTGGCTAAAAACAATGACCGAACTGTACCCGTATACTTAGGGGCTATCTTCTGGGGTTTTACACTCAGAGATAATTCCGGGACTTTAGCTCCACACTCAGATGCTATCTCCCCAGCAATTAGTTTGATAAAAGTAGTCTTCCCCATTCCGTTCTCACCCACCAGGACAATAATCTCAGGAGCAGCAAATGAACCCGCTTCCACCACTAACTTAAACCCACCATTAGCCCAAGTCTTACATAAAGCCGGGTACGTAGTAATTCCTAAACTACCTACAACCGGCTCAGTATTACTCGGACTCACTAGAGCTGCAGCACTCCCATCATTAGCCTCACTAACTTTAAAGGTCAGTCCCTCCGGTCTAAACCGCATATTCTCAGTGGGTAAGACTCCACTCAAGAAGATGTTAATAGCCTCCCTAATCGTAAAGGGATGAGAAATAACCCCATAAGCCCCAGCCGATCCGTACAATACACATCCAAAATCACTCATTAAATCTAAAATAGATAAGTCATGTTCAACAACAATAACATAATTATTAGCCCGACAAAGACCTCTAATCACACTCGCTGCTTTAATTCTTTGTCGGACATCCAAGTACGAAGTCGGTTCATCAAAAATGTAAACATCTGCTGGTTTAAGAGCTGTAACAGCAATAGCCAGTCGTTGTAACTCACCCCCACTTAGATCTTTAACTCGTCGGTCTTTTAACTTCTCTAACTCTAATTCCCGGTAGTAGTAAGCCGTTTCAGCTCCAGAGGCCGACATTAAATCGGCTACTGTCTCTTCCTTTAATGATCGTGGGATCTGATCTACATACTGAGTCTTATGCGCCACCACTAACTTACCCTCCATTAACTTCTTAAAGTACGTCTGTAACTCTGATCCTCGGTACTTGGTAATTAGGGCATTATAACTCGGTTCTTCTGACCACTTCCCTAAGTTAGGTAGAAAGTGGCCAGCCAGAATACCTAGGGCTGTACTCTTCCCAATTCCATTCGTACCAATTAGTCCTAAGACCTTTCCTGGTCTAGGTACAGGTAATCGGTGCAATTTAAACCCATTAGGCCCATAACGATGAATAATATCTTTTGATAAACTAGTTGGTAAATTGATAATTTTGATTGCCCCAAATGGACATTGTTTTTGACAGGCACCACAACCGATACAAAGTGTTTCAGAGATAGAGGAGGTAGTACTGGTCTTATCTACACTAATACAAGGCTTTCCCTGCCTATTTACTGGACAAGATCGCTTACATTCTAGTTGACACAACTTTGGTTTGCATCTATCCGGTAAGACAACCGCAAGCCGGGTAAGTTGGGACTTCTCTTTCATAAAAAAAATCTTCCTCCTCCCTAAAACCGCCACCCTTGCCATCTACTCATTCACTATTCTTCAAAACATTGAAATTTGAAATTGTGTTGTTTTTTGTCATGGACCAAGTCAGAGTAGAATTAGCTAAAGAATATCCAGAAATCAATCGGGCGAGAATGCTTTCAGTGCAGAGAGACTTTGCCCGAGCTGCTGAGGCGTATGCTGAGTTGTTAGACGAGATGGCACCTCGGGAGGAGAGTTCTAGCCTGAAAATGGCAGCTGTTTATTTGGAATATGCCCGAGCATTGATCTTATCAAATGACAAATTAGTGATTAATCCTGAGATTGAGGAGGATCAGAGGTACTTAGAAGATTTAGAAATTGCCTGGGAAGTCTTGGAAGTAGCTAAACAAGTCTTTATTAGTCATAATGTAGTGAATGAGTTATTGGAAACGTACTTATTATTAGCCGAAATGTCGCAAGATGCTAATAACTTAGTGGCTGCTCGGGAGGACTTTATGGGTGCTTATGACTTGTGTTTATCGGCCTATGGTGAAAGTAGGCAGTTGGCGGAAATTTCGTTTAGAATTGCTATAGTAGATGAAGGTTTAGGAGAGACGGGGAAGGCTATTACTCGGTTGGAAGAGTTAGTGCAAATGTTGCAGCGATTACCAGGTGATGAGACGATTAAGGAGTTGGTGCAAGAAGTCAATTTACGGATTGATGAGATGAAGCATCCTGAGAAGTACAAGATAGATCTGAAAGCCGAGAAGACTACTACTGTTGATCCCAGTGCACCAGTTACTAAAGTATCAACTACTAAGACGCCTAAGCCAGATAAGTAAATTGGTTTCGGTTTGGGTTGTGTTAGTATGATATTGTGTTGTGTTAGTATGGTATTGTATTACGTTGATGATATTGTATGGTGATCTATCTGAAGATTTAGTACTGATTTGACTTAACCCAATAAGATAAAACAGTTTTTGTGTCTACTGAGTTTGGTTTGGTAGGGTATGTTTGATTTTTGTTATACAAGCTGGACTGATTTTGATATTATTAGGAAGTTAGGATTGAGTTGGCCGGAAGGAATCATAGGATTACAAACAATAAAGTAGTGATAAGACTTGCATTTATATAAAGTAGATCTAGAATTAAGTTGAGTTTTGAATTGGGTTGAGTTAGTATTGGGTTGGGTTAAGTTGAATTAGACGAAGTTGAGTTAGAAGAAGTTAGTATTGGGTTAGAAGAAGTTCAGATGTGGGGTAGTTGAGTTAGACGAAGTTAGTATTGGGTTAGAAGAAGTTGTGGAGTAATCAGAGAGATGGGAAACACCAACTCAATACTATTCTTCATTAATAAATGGAACCAGAACCAATCTAGTTAAGGAGTACTAGAGATAAAGGGGGATGGAAGTACGTCTATGTGATGATGACTAAAGATATAGTTCATTTTCACTTCCAAAAAGTAAGATAGCATAGAAACTTGCCTTAAGAAAATAGATATTATAGCAAGTTAGAATAGATAAACTTTAACTAGAAGAGATAATAAAGATAATTACTTAAAATCAGCCTTTATTTTCACAACATAATACTTTCTGATACTGGATAGATAGTCAAGATGATGACGTATGTGGTAACGATCGAAAATTTTATGCGAGTAAAGGCAACCGATGAGTTTACTATTGAAATTTTAGGCGAAAAACATACGTTACTTAATTTGATTCGTTGGTGCATCTACAAATTCGAGTCTGTATATGAAATCGAGCTTGTTGGGTATACTATTCCCCATCCAATGGAAGATAAGGCCATAATGAAGATTCAACTAAAAGACTCTACCAATCAAACCAAGAAACATATTCTCGATGTCTTCCAAAGAGGAATAGAATCAGCCCAGCAAATCACCCACCATCTCTCCACCTTAATAGTCCGAGCCGCGTAATCCAATAAATACACTATAAACTAGATTGATTTAAACAACTGTTAAACACATAACTCAACTCAACTCAATACGTAATGGAATAGATTATTTATTGGCCACCTTGGCACCTCTTGATTCGGCTATGGTGTACCACCACTTGGCCTCTTTTTTGTCCAGGTGTGTTTGATTGCGCGTATCGAGATAGGCGGCATAGATAGCAGCTGCATCGGGATGGCCTAGTTGGGCCGCTTGTTTGACCCAGTCAATAGACTCATTTTTGTTGTCGGCATTCCTTTCTAGCTTGAACATTTCAAAACAGGCCTGGGGACTGACTTCGGCTATCCGAGTGTAGTACGTCTTGGCGGTTTCTTGGTTGGCTTCTAAACCTAGCTCGCCATAATGATAGGCCAAGCCGAGACGTAAGATCGAGCGAGGACAGCCAAGCTTTTCGCCTTCCTGGTAAAGAGCTAGTGAATAGGGATAGTCTTCAATAATATGACCTTGCACTAATGGAATGCCCTCGTGGCACAGGCCTAAATCATACAGTGCATGTGGATATTCAGGGGTTGACAGCTGACGTGCTTGTTCTAAATAGAACACGCCTCCTTTTATATCTTGACGACAGCCAAAGCATCCTTCTAAAAGAAGCATGGCATACTTGTGCACGGCCCGGAGTGATCCACCATTAGCCGCCAACTTATAGAAATGCCCAGCCTTATGTAAGTTCTTACGGCAAGCAATACCATGCTCATAGAAGTAAGCCAATCGGTAACAACCAAACGGACTACTATATTCGGCCGCTCGTTTATAGCAAATATAAGCCTTTTTAAGATTGGGCTCAGTGATAATTCCAGTTTCATGAATCTTCCCCAGAACTACAAAAGCTTCTGAATAAGCCGTGTTCTTGTAACGCGACCCCGTGATATTCTGAGTGGCCAAAGATAGTGCATCAACAATGTGTTTGTAAGTCTTTTCAACTCGTTCACCATTTATAGCCAACCGCAAAGCATAGTTAACTAAATTACCAGCTGCTTCAACTAATGCTTCATGATTACCAGTCCGTTTATGCTGTGCACATTCGGCCTCCAATTCATCCATACTCCCCCTGTATTCGCAAATTTAACCCATATCCAATCACAACCCCTATCACTTCTCCCAACTAAATAAATCATAAATTAACAATATCCACCCACCCCACCACTATCTCCTCAATATTTGTGAGTTACCCCAATTAACCCTTTTAAGGAAGAATAATTACCCAATAAGGAAATAACAAGCCTAAATATTAAATTTACTCTTAAAAAAACCATGGCCAAACGATCCACTCGAAGACTTTCCATTCTCGGCTCTATGAAGGACTTTTCCAAGTACTTCCTAGATGAAATCTTAACTGCCGGCCAAGGCGATCAACACCAAAAATATACTAAGCATAAAATGGATCTAAATGGAGTTGATATCAAAGAAACAAACAAGCCCCATCGCCCAGAACTTGAAGTTCTCTTTCTATGTATGATATGTTTATTATGCACTCTTATCTTCAAATGTTCGTTTTTTTTTACCTCACCCGTTTTATTTGATCTTTCTGGTAGTAATATTTGGTCTAATATTCTTATCGGAATTATTGTTGCTATCTCTAGTGGGTTAGCAATTCTCTATCGCATCAATGTGTCTCGCGGCACCAATTGTACATATATTTATTACTAGTGAGTAACGGCTAGTTAGTCATCACTAATTTTCATTTCAAAAACAATCATTACTATCTATTCTATTATATTATAATTTATCCTCCTCTATTTCTTATCTAACTCATTTCTTATCTCATCTCATTTCTTATCTCAATTCAAACTAATCAAGTACCTCTCTTTGGCTACTATCAAACTCGACATTCACTCTGATCAGATACTTCATAAAGTTAGTAATATAAGACATGGCTAAGAGTCCAAAGATAACTCTAATGAGGCCACATGACGTTCGTTGAATATAATAAAGGCCTTTATCCAAACTTAGTGTCCATAGTTCCCATAGTCCGGTACTGCCTATACTAAGCAGTACAGAAGCTGCTAGAACTTCAACTAAATGCATAGTAAACTTCTGGTGTCGTATAAACAACTTACCCAGTACTAAACTAGCTATTACGCCTAAGACTAAACCCAGTACCAGATGAATAGATGCCAAACAACAAATACAGAAGACATACATAAAGGTAGCTGAACCCACAAACCAAAGTTCTTTATACTTCTTAGCCACTATTTTATCCACTAATTCAGTTGACATTCCGCCAACCCAAAACATAATACCAGCTGAATGCACTCCACATAAAACGGCTACTAGGTAACAGACGTTAGTTATAAGAAAACTAACATGCCTATCTTTAAAAAAGCGGCTAATCTTCTCAAAATGATTCCAGAACAAAACACAACCTAAAGATATCAAAGCAATCGAAGAAAGAAGTTGCACCCAAAACCAACCTTTAACTTGGTCCACCATAATTTGATATTCGTGAACAAGAACTTCAACAAACCACTCCATAAAAGTAAAATTTCGACGTAATTTAATATCAATATGAATATCGGCCGGTCTTATCACTAGGAGTATTTACAGACCATTATTGTCCCGATCGAGACCACCCCCTTTTTCTTCGGCCGCCTCCTAATTTGACTGTAGTTCTTGCCCCTATTGGATTGGATTGGTATTGAGATAGTATTATGTTGAATTTAGATAGAATTGTGTTCGAATTGAGATAGTATTATGTTGAGCTTAGATCTTGATTTTGACCAAATGAGTTTTGAAGTAGGAGTAAAAGAACCATTCAATAAACATTACTTGTATGCTGACTTGTCCCAACTCAGTACTTTGTCTTGCTAGTACTTGAACTAACTACTTGAATTAACTACTTGGACTTTTACTTCTATAGTATCTAAATGCTTGGCTGCCTAGCAAAGTAACACCAACTCAGCACTAATTACTAAGTCAATTAGGAGATCTTAATAATAACAACCGAGGAGTCTATTTCAACCTTTAGCTCGATTTCGGTTTTGAAGTATGGAGTTATGATGGTAGGATTAGTGGAGGCATTAAAGGGAATGGGACAGACATGGGATAAACAGTTAACAATACTCTTCTCTTCTAGATAGAAGGGAGTTTTCTCAGTTTGGTTTTCAGTACTCTCAACTTGGAAAAGTCCGATTTTCAAGAGCTTAGCCGGTTTAAGCAACTTGATAGATAAAGAAATAATCCAATGCGGTAATGTTTCTGGAGTTAATACCAGGTAGAATGTTGCTACTGTTACTCCGTCCTTTTTAATACTATACGAGGTCGTTCGGACCTTTTCAGGAGTAGACTGGCCACGTAAAGCCCAATAAAGATGCAATGGATGGGCATGTCCTTCCTGCTGAGCCACCGACAACTCCCGGGCCTTTTCATAAACATTCATGGCCTGGGCTCGTTCTAAAGCACCTTCCAACCCATTCTTCTCACTAGGTGCCATCCAAGCCACCGGACTAGTTGCCGTCTCCCGCAAGTACTCCACTACCTCCCTATGCATATACGGCCCATTTTCACTACTCCTAGCCCGACTCACATCTTGAGTAGAGACTGTCTCCTGGCTAACTGTACTGTCAACTGTACTGTCAACACCACCACGCCAAACCAACTCTTCACATTGCACCGAAATGTACTTCCCAGACAAAACAATCTTATCCAGCTGGTCAGCAATAACCACCCGAGCATCACTAGTTAGCTGCAACAAAAACGACTTGTGCAAAGTCTCCTCCTTAGTATGCATAGTTAGATTCAGTGTATAAACCACTGCAATATTCACCCCACTATAAGAAGGAGGTAACTTCTCTGGAAACAAAACCGAATACTCAATCCGCGTCCCACTAGTATCCACCGCCAAAGGCACAACTTGACTCTCAAAAAACAAGACAGACCTATCTCGGCGCAAGTAATGACCAACCACCGACCCCGAAACCAACAATACCCGACCTTTAGGAGGTACAACCTCCACTTCCATAACCGCCACCTTATCTAACTCAAACCGATTGCGACCACAAACTATCCGCCAATTCATAAACAACTTAGATTCCAAATTAAAATGCAAATTCAATGTTGACACTAATTAGACCATTTAGACATATAAACTTATAAGACATTATCACAACTCCAATTACACTATAATATAGACATCAAGACATATTACAAGTTAATATAGCCCAAAAAAGGCAAAACCCGACTATAAATACCCAGAGTGTTTTTTTTGTAATGAGATTTCAATGGATATTTGGTATCTTAATGCTATCTCTAGTACACAAAATTGCTTGTCGTGCTAAAATAGAAGCATCTCAGACCAAGATCGAAGCCACCGAGACGTACACTGACTCGCAAAAGGAGACAGTTAAGGTAGAAACGGTTATACCCGAAGAATCGCCCGAAACAGTTGTGACCACAGAAGAGCTAGAACCAGAAACTACGCAAAATGAGATCCCTACTGAGAATTCTGCCATCCTTTTCTCTAGTATCTCTTTGTCCCAAGAAGAGATCGATAAGATCAAAGAGTCTATGACCGTACAGTTCACTTTCTCACCAGACCAGGACTTAGCTAACACTCTGGCTACTCCTTTCCCAGGTTTCTATTACCATAGTGATAAAGGTCTTTACACTTACCCAGTTACAGGTGAGAATGCCGAAGCAATTCAAAAAGAACTTCTTCAGTACCAGAACATTGCTAGTATTCCTTACTTTGATGAAATCAAACAAGAGAATTATCAGAATTATGAGAATACTGGTTTAGTTACTACTTATGTTATTAGTGAGTCGGCTAAAAAGCAAGAGCTGAGTTGGATGGAACAACCGGCTGAACATTTCAAAACCCAGATGAAGATTGCTCTTTTGGACTTTGAAAGTACGCGAATGTTCTTGGAAAGTGCCGGTTTACGTGAAGAGATGAAACCAGCTCTGTTTGTGATTGTGACTAAGGTGGAAGGCAGTTCTAACACCCCTAAGATCTACAAGTACTTGAAGACTAATATTAGTCAGCCAGAAGAAGTACATGAGTTTATCAATGGGTACTTAGGTAATGCACTTACGCCTTTCTTGATGGACGAGAAGGTTGAAGAGGGAGTATCTATGGTTTCTGAATCGGGAGTGACTCGAATTACTAACAGTACTTTCTCTTCCTTTGCGATGGATAAGCTTAAGAATGTTTTGGTTGTTTACCATGTGGAGTGGTGTAAGTACTGCCAAATCCTTTTGCCAGAATTGGAAGAGTTAGCAGCAGCTTTACAGGCGGCTAATGTCACTGATATTGCCGTGGGTAAGATGCTAATGACTAAGAATGATATTCCTTTGGATTTAGACGTTCAAGGGATTGAAGCCTATCCGACTGTGCGCTTATATAAGACCGGTACTAATGATGAGATCATCTATGAGCCTCAACCGGGCAAGCCTATCAATGCCGAAGCTATCATTGCCTTCCTGAAGAAGCATACTGATCTTCCTGAGGACTTTACTATTGCCAAGCCCCTTCCAACTGAAGAGCGTGTGCCTGAAGAGGTTCCAGAGATTAAGACTGATCTGTAAGTTTTTAATAAATCCCTGCTCAGTCAGACTAGTATTGTCTTTTGATTTGATTTAGATTTAGTTTAGATTTAGTTTGGGTTAGGTTGTGATTGTGATTGAGATGTTGTTTTGATTTGGTTTTGATTGAGATGTTGTTTTTATTGAGATGTTGATTTAGATGGGAGAGAAGAAGTAACGAGGTTTTTGTGTGGTTGGAGGAGTAATGTGAGGAGGTAGATAGTTCAGACTAGGTTGTTCTTGGCTGGGAGAGAAGTAAATTAAGATGTGGTAGTGGCACGTGTGTAAGTGAGTTTAGATAAGTATTGGGTTGGTGTAGATATGTGTAGATATGTGTAGATAAGTATTGGGTTGGTGTAGATGTGTGTAGATAAGTATAGATGTGTGTAGAAGTCAAATACTCATAAGATGTATGGGCGGTATTAGATTGTGCTTAAGTGGATAATGCTGAATAGTGTAGGTTAGTACTGATTGAGAGAATGGGTTGTGTTGTGATAAAGTATAGTTGATGTAGTGATGAGAAGATGATGATGGGTAGATAATGACTAGATAAGTAGATTATATTGAGATGGTGGTGGAGTGTTAAGTCTGGGTTGTGTAAGTTTGATTTTTATGACTATGTTCGATCAAGAAATGATTATTGGTGGTGCTGTCAAAGTTAGGCGTTGCAAAATGATTGTGTGGTGGTGTGCTTTTTGGTTGTACCTCTTGTTGATGCTGTATTGGGTTCGTGGAGTTGAGTGGGTTGAAGGGTTAGATAGGCCTACTCGTCCTGGTTGGTCGGAATCGGAAAAGATGGTGGAGACTATGCAATCAATTGGGTTTGTGTTCGATACACCGTGGCCAACAGTGTGGATTACATCTTACATTTGTTGCTCTCCTACACAACCGGTGGATGCTAGTAATCCAGAGCCGAGTCCTTCTAGTACAACACCACATATTCAGTATCTAGTAAGATGTTGGAATGATTGTCTTTCCTTTAAACTGCCGACTTACTCTGATGTGAAAGCGGCGGAAGTAGCGTTGGCTAAGTTGAGAACAATTGATCTTATTAAGGTCGACCGGGCTTTTGTGACCTATAGAAAGGGCAATCCTAGTTGTCAACACGAGAATCTGCTAATTTTATCTCGAGTTGTTAATGTGCTTGACTGTACGCGCCTGGAAATTCGCATGGATTCTTCTTTGAAACAGGAAGTGCCTGCTGCTCAGCTGACTTTGGCCTTATGCTTGAAAGAAGCACGAGCTATTGTTGACCAAGCAACATACCACGCAGAATGCTGGCTCAGATTTGCCTCTAAATCAAAGAGTAAGACTCTGGATCTGACATCCGTTGGTGTTGTCTTGTTACGGCCTATTTCTAGTGTTTTTATTGAGAAGGATGAGTTCCAGGATATCTCTTATTTATCTCGGTTGCCACTAATGGAGAACTACGTACTCTACTTCAGATGCTTGCCTAGTGTTGTTAATCTTGATTTGGGGTTTCTCCATTTGTCCTCCCCTAAATGCAGTCGGATTGTTATTGAAACTATCACGAGCATAAAGATAAAAGTAACAGGTCTTGAGAATGCCACGGCCAACCACCCAAAGCTGGTGCTGGAAACTAACTGGATGGTTCTTAAATACCTGGCTGAGCACAACAAGTCCCAGATCCGAGTTCATACTATTTTGGATCTTTCCATCGACTCGGAATCTATCCAGGCAATGACACAACCTCTTTTAGACCAAATACCAGTCGAGCCTTGCATCATTGCAACTAACATCATTCTTAAAGTTCCTGCTAGGATGCCATGCCACCCCCTGAGCTACTACTCTGAAATATACAACCGAGAGGCCTTTGCCAAAAACGGTATCTTAATTGAAGGCGTCCAGATCAGCTACGTCTTCGATCGAAGCGATCTGTATCGCACTTTGCATACGCTTGTCAAAATCGGCGCTTTATCGATCATGCCAGAAAGTGTTATGATGAAAGAGGTTATATGTTGTGGCCAGGAACTCAATCAGCTTGACTGGGAACTTCAAGAACCAGTCACTGTTTGCCTTGATGAATCAAATATAGACTCCTATCTTGCCGACTACAACTCCTTTTATACATGCTTCTGCCAGAATATACGCTACCAAACACTTGAGATTACTGGGGAGGGGTTTCCGTCCAAAGGCAGTGTGAAGAGGTGCATTGCCCTTCTAAACTTGTTTCGGAACATTAGTGCTCGGAAGCTTAAGATTGCAGATATTCGCGATAGCAACAAAGCTGTCAACAGATTTGATCTGACTATCTTAGAAGCAGAGTTAGACCAGGCTCCCAGATACCGTTTTGATATTGACAGTTTGTTGCTATGTGATGTCGATGAACAGATAATTTATTGGATATTTGGCCACTACGAATTTAGCCGCTCAGTTGAAGTATGCATTCAAAACCAGCACTTTAAAAACCTGGCCATTACACAGATTCTTTGTCATCCAGTCGGTCATAATATCTCCTCGCTTGTAATCAATGACTTATGCCATCTAAATGAACTCACCCGGGCCAAAAAACGGCACAACATCAAAGGATTCTCACTATTCAAGCATATTGAAGCAGCCCAAAAAGACGGCAAAACACCCAAAGATCTTAACCTACACAAACTAATCTTGCAATTAGATAACACTGCCTCTAAGTCGTATCATAAAGTCCTAACTGAGCTTCTGGGTTATGACATTCAATTCTCAGCTATGCCACTTAAAACCTACATTGCCTGTATAACAGCCACCAGCCAAAACCATCCTATCTTTAACTGCATAAAGGACTTTTCGCTTTATGAAGTCACATTAGAGGTCTTAACAACCGATTTCATCTCTTGTCACTCCAAAGATCAGACTCAGCTAAGCTTAATCCAAAAGAAACCGGTTGAAACACTAACATTACGATTCAGTACCAAGCAATTTCTCACCGAAGTCGACCTGGTAACTATTATCCGTTGGATTTCCTGCCGATTCACTAGTCTAACTACTTTACGACTAATTAATGCAAAGGTAACCGAAAGTGTGCAGAGAACAATATCTTCACGCGATTACATATTTATTGGTCTGGATCTACTCAGTAGTATTCGCTTAGAGGATGTAAATTCATCGGGCACCGCAATCGAATTACTAACCAAAAGATACAGCCTTGTCTTAATAGCAACAGCTTCTAATGTCACACCCGCATTCACCATCGTACCACACCAAATCATCATCCAACTCCTCTCTCAATTAAGTCAACTTGATGACCACATGGCCACACATACACTCCCCGACCCAAACATCCAAAAGATCCTAGCTCACCTCAAAGAAAGCCCAACTCTAATTGAGTGCCCATTGTGCTGTAAAGAGCTTTGTATGACCATTACAAAGAAGAAAGAGGCAGACAATCCATCCGATGATCGCTTCACCACAATTTGTTATCTTGAATGTGGCGGACCAATCTGTAATCTATGTGTAGCTGGTATTCATAATATAGCTGGTGATACTTGCCCATACTGCCGGAAACCAAATCTAACTGCACCTGCTCGACAACTTATAAGTGCACCACTATCCAGCTTTGTCTTTGCCGACAGCCGTACTACTACACCAAGACTCAACCAGAACTGGCTCAATACTTTAGTCTGGCCAGACAACCAGATATACTTATACTTCGCCTATAAACACCCGATCCACATTCCCGCCGATCTTGATAAAGAGATAATCTATGACCCCAATCATCCCATTCACATTATTTAAGTTCATAATGAATAAACCTCCGTGAGTTAGTGCTAAGGTACTATTGAGATTTGAAGATCCAAGTAGCCGTTAACACTAAGTTTATCCACCTAGATGAGTTGACTTTATTTATTGCGCTTAACTTATCTGTCTATCTAGTGGCCAGTCCTATCTTATAAAGCAAGTAATCTGGTCCATATCAATAAACAAGCCTAGAAAGAACAAAAAGCATTACACATCATATACTAACTCAATAACTCAATACGAACCCAACACTAACTCACTACTATAATAAACACCTAGTATTAACTAGTTTACATAAGCATAAGACACTTAGCCATTACATTACATTACAACATATTTATTGAATAGTAACTCTGTACAACCTAAACTCAAACCTAACTCAAACTT